TAGGCGACACATTTTCTTTGATATAACATTGCAAATATATACCATGCTCAGAGTTAAAACTGAATTAATCTCGTATATTCACACTTCACGCGACTGAAATTACTCAAACATTTCATTAATCAGTTAAACTATTTGTTAATCATTCTGAAGAAGTTACTTTACCTATCAATAAATCAAATTCTCAAATCAACCCATGATTACCCACATAATCAGTATCTACCCAGGTATAAACAGCATATCATTACATCCACAGCTAATGCGTCTGAAAAAAACGGGATCTATGGAAATCTCTGAGTGGATAAACAGCCCGACAAAGCAATGGCGTAGATAAGAAATTTTATAGGGGGGGGGGGGGCGAGAAATGCAGATTTTTCGACAAAAAATTTAATATGCATTTTCGTTTCTTCATGCTTATTTTCCGACAAGATTAGCAATTTTCCGACAAAATGGCAGTTTAGCTCTAGAGGGGGGTTTTCCGCCCCCCTGACCCCCCCTTTATCTACGCCACTGCAACAAAGTGATAATATATACAAGAACTGCTCATCCATGACGAAAAAAAAAAGGCGGGCATATTTAACGACGGGCTAACTAGGGCAAAATTACAGGGGGTTAAGCAAATCAAACGATTATGTAATGGATGCATAAAATAAGTGGTAAAATTTTCGTATACATTCATGTTCTAGAACGAGAAAAGGGAAAAATATATGAGGGGGAGGGGGGGGAGGTAGTGCTACATTGCAACCAATATGGGAAATAAAACCTATTTGTGTACCTACTGCATGCAATAACCCATAACAGAATATTACTGAACCAAGTTGCTTTACTCAACATTTAACTTCCAACTTACTAGCAAATATCTCATCTCCTGAAATTTATATTTTATCCATTCATATATTCGGCAAGCTCATCATTATTCAGAAAATCACTAGAGCGTTAATTTGTTAACAGCAAGTGTTCTTATTATTGCATGTCAAGAGATTACTTCTCTTCTGGCGAAATTGAATTAACTTTTGCCATCACTTCCCATACAGCTTTATGATGAGTTGATGTTAGAAACACATGTCTCACGTTAAAAAAGGTATATTCATATTACATTTAAATTTTGAAACATTAGACTTGTAAGCGGTAATTACACTTTTCACAGATAGAACGGGACTGGAACTCGTGACAGCAAAATGATTAGCCGAGAACGTTACCACTATATCCCGCGGCAACTGGAATTAGCTACTAATAGATATATCATCAATAGGTACTTTTTCTATATGACTAGATAAACAACAAGCTACATATACTTACGTATTGAAGATATTCTCAACTTGATTACTTGACCAGGAGGTATAATCCACGCGCTATTTTTCGTCTTGAATCCTACTGAAGCCCACTCAAGGTGTTTGAAAATCAGTCCTGTTCCAACTTTCGAATAAAGGATGAAAATGGGCTCTAAACAGTACGGCTTTTCAGCATCATAACTATATACTTAAGAACGGCGTCAGGGGCAGTAATGAATAAATACCTATGCTTGCAAGGGGGAGCATTAATTCAAGGGCCTTTTAAAAATACACGAATTTTATCCGGAAAAAAAATTGATTCATGTGATTAATCAAAAAAGTAAAGAAAAAAATCCGTGAAGCTTTGTCAAGTTGTAGCCTTCCTGGGTATCCACACTTCTCTGGGTACCTCTAGTAAGTGAGAAGATGTAACTTCACCACAGTATTAAAATAACTTTAACAGATGTTGTGCATAATTAAGAACATTATCGTAAAGCAAAAGAAGCTGTCTCTTGATTGGTCATAGGGATAATGACGTCACAAGCGGAGTATGCAAATGTCTTATTTAGTCACAAAATGATAATTGGGAAGTGTTGCGAAATGCTCCTTGGGACAGGAAGGGGAGAAGGGGGAAGAGGTGGAGGAAGAGAGAGGGGAAGGGATGAGGAGAAAGGAGAGGAGAATGAAGAACAGGGGGAGGAGGAGGAGGAGAAGAAGAAGAAGAAGAAGAAGAAGAAGAAGAAGAAGAAGAAGAAGAAGAAGAAGAAGAAGAAGAAGAAGAAGAAGAAGAAGAAGAAGGGGAGGAGCAGAAAGAGGGGAAGGAAGAGATGGAAGAAAAGATGGAAAAGGAAGAGGAGAAAGAAGAAAACGAGGATTAGGACGTAGATGGGGAGGAAAAAAGAGGAACACGAGGAGGACAGAAAGGAAGAGGAGCAGGGAAAGGAATAAGAGAAGGAGAAGAAGGCGGAAAAGAAGCATGAAGAGGAAAAGGAGGCGAAGAAGAAAGAGTAAAAGGAGGTGGAGAAGAGAGAGGAAGAAGAGGAGAAGGAGGTAAAAGAGGAAGAGGAGACGGAAGGGGGAAGAGGAAGAGTGAGAGGAAGCGTAGAAGAAAGAGGAAGAGGAGGCGGAGAAGAGAGAGGAAGAAGAGGAGAAGGAGGTAAAAGAGGAAGAGGAGGAGGGGGAAGAGGAAAAAGAGATGAAGGAGGAAGAGGAGGAGGGGGAAGAGGAAAAAGAGGAGATGAAGGAGGAAGAGGAGGAGGTGGACACGAAGTAAAAGATGAAGGAGGAGAAGAAAAACAGCAGATGAAAAAGAGGAAGAGGAGGAAGGAGAATAAAAGGAATAATAATAAAGATGATAATAATAATAATAAGATGAGGAATAGGGGAAGCATTAGAATGAGAAAGATCAAGAATAGAGGACGAACAGCAAGAGGAGCGGAAGGGGGTAGGGGAGAAAGATAATGATGAGAAAGATGATGATGAGAAAGATAATGATGAGAAAGATGATGATGAGAAAGATGATGATGAGAAAGATGATGATGAGAAAGATGATGATGAGAAAGATGATGATGAGAAAGATAATGATGAGAAAGATGATGATGAGAAAGATGATGATGAGAAAGATGATGATGAGAAAGATGATGATGAGAAAGATAATGATGAGAAAGATGATGATGAGAAAGATAATGATGAGAAAGATGATGATGAGAAAGATAATGATGAGAAAGATAATGATGAGAAAGATGATGATGAGAAAGATAATGATGAGAAAGATGATGATGAGAAAGATGATGATGAGAAAGATGATGATGAGAAAGATGATGATGATGATAATGGTGATGATGATAATGATGATGATGATAATGGTGATGATGATGACAATGATGATGATGATGATAATGGTGATGATGATAATGATAATGATGAGAAAGATGATGATAAAGATGATGATGCTGACAATGATGATGATGATGATAATGGTGATGATGATGATAATGATGATGATGATAATGGTGATGATGATGATGATGATAATGATGATGATGATGACAATGATGATGATGATAATGGTGATGATGATGACAATGATGATGATGATAATGGTGATGATGATGACAATGATGATGATGATGACAATGATGATGATGATAATGGTGATGATGATGACAATGATGATGATAATGGTGATGATGATGACAATGATGATGATGATAATGGTGATGATGATGACAATGATGATGATAATGGTGATGATGATAATGGTGATGATGATGACAATGATGATGATGATGATAATGGTGATGATGATGACAATGATGATATGATAATGATAATGATGAGAAAGATGATGATGATAATGATGATGATGCTGACAATGATGATGATGATAATGGTGATGATGACAATGATGATAATGATGATGATCACAATGATGATGATAATGGTGATGATAATGACAATGATGATGATAATGATGATGATCACAATGATGATGATAATGGTGATGATAATGACAATGATGATGATAATGATGATGACAATGATGATAATGATGATGATAATGGTGATGATGATAAAGATAATGATAATGATGATAAGGATAATGAAGATGATGATACGTAGAGGATGAGGGACAAGAGGAGAGGAATGGGAGATGAAAAATGATGAAGATGAAGATGATCAGAGGAATAGCAAGAAGATGGTGTAGGAGAATAGAAATAATGATAATAAATAAATAAATAAATAAATAAAGAAGAAGAAGAAATAAAAATAAACACTCATGATGATAACAATAATAGAAAGAAGACAGAGAAGATGAAGAGAAAAAAGGGAAGCAGGAGAAGAAGAAGAATAAAAAAGCATAAGAATAAGAACAAAAAGAAAAAGGAAAAAGAAAAAAAGGAAAAGAAGAAGAACAAGAGGATGAGATGGTGAAGGAAAGAAAAAGGAAGAAAAAGGGAAGAAAAAGAAGTAGAAGAAAAATGGGAAAAGCAAAGTAGAAGAAGAGAGGGAAAAGAAAAAAAAAAAGATGAAATAGAAGAAAATTATGAAATTCAAGAAGAGAAAGATGAAATAAAAGAAGAAATAAAATAACTGTTTGTTCTTTACAGGCCAAACATTAGAAATAACTTTGGCCTATTCCTCAAGTAGAAAAAAATTCAGTGTTATTTTTTTCACATTTCTCAAAAAGAGAGAAAAAAAATGAAAGGAGACATTGAACTTATCAATAACATCTAAAATGTCCCATGTGGCTTGGAAAGGCCTTTACAAGCATTTATAGCATGGGTAATCCATATAATGTTTTATGACATCTCCATTAAATATAGCTTGATTGCGTCCCTGCAGTTTCAATATGGTGAGTCTAATAAAGTATTCATGTTATATTTCAATATGTTTTAGAGGTGGCAACTTTCCATACCCATTCCCTCCCCCCTCGTTTTTACTTGCATGCGCATTGGCCTTACTCTTTCATACGCACATATAATTTTCCATTGAAAGTTGGATTATGTAAGGTATTTAGAATTAGAAACTGATGTGTTCAAAACAGTACTTTTATACTTATGAGTAAGGAAAAGAAAAAAGGAAAAAATGAGAACCATATGAAAAATATCAATAATTTTGTAACATCCTGATTTATAAAAGAGAACAACAGCAACAGCTCCTATAGACAATTGTATGATACTTTGAATTATATCTCCTTTGAGGTGAATAGACTTTCTTGGGAGTTTCAGTTTTTTATTATGTCCTGGGTCTTAATTAACTTCTTTTGTCTTCTAATAAAAAGAACTTACATCATCATCATCACCCTTGTCTTGATGTTTCCATCTCTTTGCTTCCATATTTAATTTGTTTTACATCCTCAAAATATTGAACTTTCAATCTCAGATACATTATATTTTATACAAATTTTCTTTAGAGAAAAATAAGGTGCATGAATGGCTCAACTTACTTCTATGGGTAATGAAAACAATCAGAATTTCTAACTTTCTTTTCATTATCTATATACAACAATCAGCTATGGCATTAGATACAACACTAAAAACAAAAACAGTAGCATTAACATTAGACTCCAGCACTTTGCATGCGGTCCTGCTCTGCTGCGTAGTCCACGAGGAGCCTGAGCAGAGACAACAGTGGTACGAGCTGCTGGCCCATTTTTGCACTTACAGGCACTAGTGGCAAGTCGGTGTGTTGTTCAAGTTCCTCCACATTTTCCTGTCAATGAGAAGTTAAATCTGAAAATATGTCACATTTTTTTGCTATAGTCATGGGATTTGTGCAAAAGCCTACTTCAAAACAAAAGAAGAAGATGAAGAAGACGAAGAAGAAGAAGAAGACGAAGAAGAAGACGAAGAAGAAGAAGACGAAGAAGAAGAAGAAGACTAAAAAGAAGAAGAAGAGAGAGAGAGAGAAAAAATCCAGCATATACATTCTCCAGGTGAGATGGGGAAGAAAGAAAATGCACTTATGTAATCACTTTAGCAGAAGTAAATCATATATTCATACCTGAGACTCTGGCAAATCAATTTTGTTTGCTACAACGGCATGGGGTCGATTTGAAAGTCCTTCCTGATACTGCTCTAATTCATACCTTCAGGACAAAAATATTTTTGTAAATAAAGGTGTGTATATTCCCAAAGACCAATGAGGACATACATAAATAACTTCATATACTGAAAGACTAACAACAAATTTTCTATTTTTTATGTAGAATATTCCGAGTCATTTCAGAATCCAAACAGAAAAAAACTAACTTTAAAATCCTTAACTGCTCCCATGGTTCTGGCTGAGAGGCATCAAGCACATAGAGGAGACATCGGCACCTCTCAATGTGCCGCAGGAATGTTATGCCCAGACCGTGGTTGCGGTGAGCTCCTTCTATGAGGCCAGGTATGTCTGCAACTTCAAATGAAAGGTTACATTAGAAATTGCTGAAAATTGAATTGAATTGAAATTGAAATTGCTGAAAAAGTAGAGTATACAACATATTGCCTTGAAACATTTTTGCAACAAAAAACATGAAATATAATTATAATTATTATGAAAAAAATCAAGATATCAATCCTATTTTTATTCATGTGATAACAGAATCTCCTAGAAATATATTCAAAATTTATATATACAAAAACACAAAAAACACAAACACTAAAAAAATAAACAAACAAATACCATGAAAAGCCATGTAAAACTCCTACCACCTATGTAAACCAGCATTAACATTACCTGCAAGTTGGTGGTGGTCAGCATAGTGTATCATGCCGACGTGTGGATTAAGTGTTGTGAAAGGGTATGATGCAACCTTGGGCCTGGCTCTTGATATGGCCCTCAAGAGTGTTGACTTTCCAGCATTTGGGAATCCTATCTGTGAATAACATTTATCCTATTTGTTAGCTTGTAAAAACTGATATATAATTAATGATATAAAAGTGAGTCATAATATGCAAAATATGTTAGTTATTAGGTCTTGGAAATTTATACTTGATCCAACTGAGATGTGGACTGTTATCAAGTGCTTTATATTTTTTTTCCTTCCAGAGAAAAAGAAATCATGATTAAAAATAATGGGACAGCAAGAGCAAAAATCCTAAATTCCCAGTTACTTTATCATTGCATTATGACATAAAAAAATTCACAATGTATCTAATACATAAAAAGGACATAAATACTGTACTATGGACTACAGAAAATACAATACAGAACACACACCATACTGTATGGTATGTACCTTTCTTATGTCACAAATATTATAATAAATGACAGAATTACGTCTTACACACAAGATAATGCATTGTCATCAGTACCCACCAAGCCAACATCTGCCATTGTTTGGAGCTCAGCATCATATTCAAAGTACTCTCCTTTTCCACCAAATTCTGCCACTCTTGGTGCTTGATCTCTTTAAGAAAAAAGAAAATATATTTACTCATGTATTTCAATCTACACCAACAATCTGATAAACAAAACCAATAATAATGGATAAAATGTCCATTATGCATCCCTATTGTCAAAGTGCCTATGTAATGAGCATATAAACACATACATACATTCAGAATTCACCCAAATTTCCCAAATCAGATGAAACAAAATTTTTAAAAATTATTTGTTTTTTCTAATGAGGAACTCCTGACAAGTTCAAAATGTTGCATTGGTTTTCAGTTCATATTGTGGTAGTATATCTTTTATTCATAAATACGAGTATATAATGTATCTATAAGCTGGTAGCCTAAGCTCT